CGATTTGTTTACAAAAGTCATCATCACTTTCAATACGATAAATATGATTGTAAACCCTAATGAGTGGCATAATTTTAGATGAACGTTTATAGGATCCATCTAAAAAGGCAACAAGTCCACATATAGCAAAACTTGTGCTTATAGCAGTGTGTCTTGCAAGTGTCTAGTGGTGCAGAGTGTTTTTCGGTTCAGACGACGTACCGCAGTGTATCTATAGATAATTTAGTTCATCTTTCAAGACGTTGAGAGCGGTTTAAAAGGTAGCCTTATTAATCGTCAGCAAATTTAAATGAGGTAAACATTTTCATTCCTGTCTTTTACCCCCAACTATGTAGTGGAATCGGGTGTGACGGTTAGCAATTTGTAGAAGTCATCATCAGCTTAAATACGACAAATATGATTGTAAGACCTAATAGTGCCAAAGATCAATTCCTGAAGAGACCAGAATCCACAACATTTGAGCAAGACTTTGTGCTTAAGCATAATATAATAACAAATAACAACAGTCTAGTGATACCCGGTGCCGAGTGTTTACAGTGCCTCAGTTATATCTATCGTGATAATGTATTTCATCCTTGAAGAACTTTGAGAGGTACCCTTATTAATCGTCAGCAGATTTAAATAAGGTAAAAATAATTTTCATTCCTGTCAAATCATAAAACATTTACACTGAAGAAAGGACGTGCTATCCTTTGGCGAACACGGTTCACATATGTCAAGTTCAAGCGCCATTTTTTGTAAGTGCGGTAGCTAGACATGCGACGTTGCCGGATCCTCACATAAATCGGAGTTTGTCATACAATTTATAGAGGGCATTAATGCTATATCGAAGATTTTATAAGGCCATTGTGCTATTGATGGTGACACATGCGACGTTGCCGGCTCCTCACATAAATCTGAGTTTGTCATACAATTTTATAGAGGGCATTAATGCTATATCGAAGATTTTATAATGCCATTGTGTGATATTTATGGTGACACATGCGACGTTTCCGGCTCCTCACATAAATCTGAGTTTGTCATACAATTTTATAGAGGGCATGTAATGCTATAATCGAAGATTTATAGCCATTGTGTGCTATTAATGGTGACAGATGCGACATTGAAAAATGAAAAATGAATGAATAATGAAAATGCAAAATGAAAAACGAAAATGAAATATGAAAAATGAAATAAGAATGAAAATGAAAAACGAAAATGAAAAATGAAAAATGAAAATGAAAAACGGACAACGGACAACGGAAAACGGACAACGGAAAACGGAAAACGAAAAATGAAAACGTATAAAAGATGACAGACTAGACACCGGATACCAGATACCAGAAACCAGATACCAGATCCACATACCAGATACCAGATACTAGATACCAGACACCTGATACCAGACACCAGATACCAGACACCAGATACCAGATAGCAGATACCAGAAACGAGATACCAGACACCAGATACCAGATAAAAAGATCAGATACCAAATACCAAATACCAGATACCAGACACCAGATACCAGACACCACATACGAGATACCAGATACCAGATACCAGACACCAGATACCAGATACCAGACACCAGACACCAGATATCAATACCAAATACCAGATCTAGACACCAGATACCAGATACCAGATCCACATACCAGATACCAGATACCAGACACCAGATACCAGAATAGATACCAGACACCAGATACCAGACACCAGGCACCAGATACCAGATACCAGACACCAGACACCAGATAGCAAATACCAGAAACGAGATACCAGATACCAGATAAAGAGATAACAGATACCAAATACCAGATACCAGACACCAGATACCAGACACCACTACGAGATTACCAGATACCAGACACCAGATACCAGATACCAGATACCAGATACCAGACACCAGATACCAGATACCAGAAACCAGCCACCGGATACCAGACACCAGATATCAGATACCAAATACCAGATACCAGATAACCAGATACCTAATACCAGACACCAGATACCAGACACCAGACACTAGATACCAGACACCAGATACCAGACACCAGACAACACCAGACACCAGATACCAGATACCAGACACCAGATACCAGATACCAGATACCTGATACCAGACACCAGATACCAGATACCAAACACCAGACACGAGACACCAGATACCAGACACCAGATACCATATAGCAGATACCAGAACGAGATACCAGACACCAGATACCAGATAAAAACATAACAGATACCAAATAACAAATACCAGATACCAGATACCAGACACCAGATACAGACACCACATACGAGATACCAGATACCAGATACCAGACCACCAGATACCAGATACCAGACACCAGATATCAGATACCAAATACCAGATACTAGACACCAGATACCAGTACTAGATCCACATACCAGATACCAGATACCAGACACCAGATACCAGATACGATACCAGACACCAGATACCAGACACCAGGCACCAGATACCAGATACCAGATACCAGACCCAGACACCAGATACCAGACACCAGATAGCAATACCAGAAACGAGATACCAGATACCAGATAAAGAGATAACAGATACCAAATACCAGATACCAGACACCAGATACCAGACACCACATACGAGATACCAGATACCAGATACCAGACACCAGATACCAGATACCAGAACCAGATACCAGACACCAGATACCAGATACCAGAAACCAGCCACCGGATACCAGACACCGATATCAGATACCAAATACCAAGTACCAGATACCAGATACCAGATACCTGATACCAGACACCAGATACCAGACACCAGATACCAGACACCAGACACTAGATACCAGACACCAGATACCAGACACCAGACACCAGACACCAGATACCAGATACAGACACCAGATACCAGATACCTGATACCAGATACCAGATACCAAACACCAGACACGAGACACGAGACACCAGATACCAGACACAGACACCAATACCAGATACCAGAAATCAGACACCAGATATCAGATACCAGATACCAGATAAAGAGATAACAGATACCAGATTCCAGATACCAGACACCAGATACCAGATAACAGACACCAGATACCAGACACCAGACACCAGATACCAGATACCAGACATCAGATACCAGATACCAGACACCGGATACCAGATACCAGATACCAGACACCAGACACCAGATACCAAATACCAGATACCAGATACCTGAGACCAGATACCTTATACCAGATACCTTATACCAGATACCAGTAAAGAGATAACAGATACCAGATACCAGACAACCAGATACCAGATACCAGACACCAGATACCAGATACCAGACATCAGATACCAGATACCAGACACCGGATACCAGATAGCAGACACCAGACACCAGATACCAAATACCAGACACCAGATACCAGATACCAGACATCAGATACCAGATACCAGACACCGGATACCAGATAGCAGACACCAGATACCAGACCCAGATACCAGATACCAGACACCAGATACCAGATACCAGACATCAGATACCAGATACCAGACACCGGATACCAGATCAGGCACCAGACACCAGATACCAAATACCAGATACCGGATACCTGATACCAGATACCAGATCAATGCCAAAGGATAAAAAATGATTAGAGATAGGATAAAGTTATCGCTAGCATTGCATTAGCATACCAGCAACTGCGCTACGTGAGGTTTTAAATAAAGACATCAACGTGCAATATTTTGCATAGCGTTAGCGTGCCAGCAACTGCGCTAGTCTTGATATTATATCACGAGACGCTAAGTCAGATGGAAGTTATTCTGTCAGAATGGAATGTAAACATAATACTTCTCTCACACTAGTGAGAAATATTGTGATTTATACCACAATTAGCTTCGGTCCAACCTTCCAGGATACCCTGTATACAATATACTACAGTGATTCTTCAGTTCTTCAATAACAATGTTAAGGAATCTTCATACGATGAAAATGTGGAAGATTTTTTCACCGCGATACCGTTAGATATTTATTGCAACGTCGTTGTAGGTTGTAATATTCAATGGAGATTGAGAAAAACTTAATAGCTCGTAGTAAAATTTTAATTACTACCGTTCCTACCTGTGCAATAAACGTAATGACAGCAATTACACGTAGCTTCATAGAAAATATATCGTGATATGTGAGGTATTTCTTACGTCAAGATTGTAATTGAAATACGACACAACGTAGAGGAGAATGAGTCTTTGAACCTAGTTTTAGAGAGTTTGGCAAGCAAACGAGCTTCAGCAGTTATGGAGATTCGTTTATTTCATATTAGTAAACAATTCCGTCGAAATATTATTTAATAACCACGTGGATTAAAAAAAAATTATACAGAATTTTGATATAACAAATACTGCATAAACTTGATTTCCAACGTAATTTTGGCATTTAAGCTATCGATTTATTGGTACCAAATGTCAAAAGAAGCTGACGTTATCTGCTGTAACTTTCCTCGTATATCAGAACTTATACGATTGGCATTCAGATTACGCAGACCAGAATGATCTGTATAATGAATACGCTAGTCGTAAATAAGTTAATTACCAAGGTGATAAAATCGTAGGATCGATCGTAAACCAATAAATTAGAAGCGTTTATCACTGTTACAGTTTAATCTGGGATTTGGTAGACAGATTCCAACTATTAGTCGGTAAATCGCTGATAGATCCAAGCTCGCGTGTGGTCAGCCGTTTTCAATGATACACAACTTTTTAAACGGTTTATTGCCGCGTTTACAAGTTACCACTGCATTCCTGGGTTTTATGTTTCGTTCTCGGCATCTTGAGAGCACGATATATCCTCGACGCGAGAAAAAACATCAGACGCGATTTTTAGATTCCTTTAACTCATCAATTAATTTGTTTTGAAATTAAAGGCGAAACATTTCGAATGAGCGGTTTAGTCATCACTAACGTTGCCGTTATTGGTTACTGGCGAAGGGTGGAGATTAATAGTCTGGTCAAGCTAGAGATGGAAACGAAAAAACAAAAAATAAAAGTCAGTCGAGTAAGAGTAGTAAACAAAAACGTTTTTACACGGGAGTGGTCGAGAATATCAAAAAATATGTGTAATAACATTCTTATTGTTAAAAATTTTTAATCTCTTACTATTTCGTTTATTATGCAACTTTTAAATAGTAAATTATTCGATCACAACTCCTTTTGAATAGTCCTATAAGCAGTTAAAATAAATGACGCAACTTTGAAAACAGCCTGTATATTTCCAGAGAGAAACGTTGCATACACGATCTGAAAAACCGCTTAGAATGTTTGCGATACCGTGAATTAAATCGGATACATTTTTTATTGAGTCGGAGTTATTTTCCTGAAAATTTGACATTGACAAATGTGATACGCGATTCCAAATACCTTATTTTCTAAACTACCTTTTCTTCTTTTCCAGCCGAGGGCGACATCTGCCAATTCGCTGCCCTGAAAAGCCACTACCAAAGTCGCAAATGCCCCGCGAAAGACGAAGGCCTGTCCCTGTTCACCGCCGCAAACCGACCGCGCGCTCTCAGCGCCCTCTATGCGGCGGCGACGACGGGACCGGTGGCAGCTGTCAGACAGCTCGATAGATGGCGCAGAGAGACGGCCAGCGATCTTCAGGGTTCTTCGTTTGTACGCCGGTGCTGCAGGCTAAGCGACGGAGGATGCGCCAGAAAGTGGACATCGAGATCGAGACGAGGATGGTGAGTACCGACATTACGCGGTGACACAATATGACGACAATCAGCGGTGTTATGAAAGTTAATGTTTTTTTTTTTGGTGAGGGGGGAATGCGTTTACGCACCATACCATAGCCCGAGCTACGGCGTGTGTGGGACTCCAGGTTGTCTTGAGGAGACCACCTAATACCCACTAAACCCTAAACCTCCGCGTGGCCCGACTCATCAGCGTCTCGGTAGGCCATGTGTTGTGTGTGACCTGCGGTCTGCTACAACGTCTCTTCATGTGTTTCAGTCTCTGGGAACGCCGGGTTGTTGTTCCCTTTACCTCGCACATTCTATCGATGTCGTTAAACGATCATCGATAGAGGGTCTGCTAGGTTCTCTTGAAACTCTTGCTTTCGAAAAATCAAGAGTTTCAAGTCCTCTTACCAATATGTTGTTTGTCCTGGTCCTGGTGGGTCCTGGTCATGGCGGGTCCTGGTCCTGGTGGGTCCTGGTCCCGGTGGGTCCTGGTTCCGGTGGTTCCTGGTCCTCTGCATCCACGCCGTGGGGAGAGGGGCAACCGCGGGTTCTCCTATTCTCCTATTCAAGGTTCCAGTTAGCGGGTGCCAACTGGGACCTTGGTCTAGGGTACCTGGTTCTGCGGTTGCGAGGCCTCTCGTCCGGATCGTAGTCCATGAGGAATCGCTCGGGTGGTTCTGAGCTTTCTCGAAGGTGTTCTCCGCTTTTTTCCTCATGTACTCGTGGATGGTGTCCTAATGCAGGTCTCTACGCAAGGTTGAGTTTCTTACGTAGGATGGTGCACTGGTGGCGATCCGGAGTAGCTTTTCTGAGCAGCAAGTCGCTTGCGGTAGCTGGGGGCAGCGTACCCCCAGACCGCGGAGGCGTAAGCGAGCTGAGGTCTGGCGATGGCCTTGATCAGCCGTAGCTTGGTCGCTAGCGGCATCCGGCTGTGTCTACCCAGTAATGGGTAGAGTTGAGCCATGGCTGCTCTGGTCTTTGCGATGACAGCTTCTATGTGGGCTTTCCAGGTGAGGGACTTGTCAAATACGATCCCCAGATATTTGACTCTGTCGCTCCACTGGATATCTTCGTCGAAGATGGATGCTTCGAGAGGTCTTGCAATCCTTCTTCGTTGAATGAAGATTGCCTGCGTCTTCTGGACGTTGATGCGGATTTTCCATTTCACGCACCAGTCCTGGATGTGGTCCAGTTCATCCTGTAGTCTCCTACGGATGATCTCGGGTCGTCTATGCTTGGCGGCTATAGCAGTGTCGTCTGCATATAGGGCCCGCATTGTGTCAGCTGTCTTCGGCACATCGTGAGTATAGATGTTGTAGAGCAGGGGGGCTAAGGCTGACCCCTGGGGCACGCCTGCTTCCAGCTGTCGTCTTGTTGAATGGCATGTACCAATCTTCACCGTGAACCATCTTTGTGTTAGATAGCTCTGGATCAGTTGGCACATGTTCGCATCGATTCCGGCGGCTTCCATTTTGGCAATGAGTCCATCGTGCCAAACTCGATCGAAGGCTCGTTCCACGTCCAGCAGGACGAGACCGGTTGCCTCCTGGAGATTGAAGCCGTGGTGATGTTTTCTGTCAGTCGTAGCGCTTGGAGTTCCGTGTTGTGGGAGGATCTGAAGCCGAATTGCTGGGGGGAGAAGTTGCAGTTCTTCTGCCTGCTTCTCTAGTCGAACGGCGATAGCCTTTTCGACTACTTTGCCCATCGAGGAAACCAGGCTGATGGGCCGGTAGTTCTGGGGCAGCTTCCAGTCCTTGCCTGGCTTGGTGAGCATTATAACCTGGGCTTCCCGCCACCGCCGCGGGAAGTGGTTAAGTCTCAGAGTGGCATTGGCGATGTTGGTGAGCGCAGCAATGCCTTTGGTGGAAAGGTTCTTCAGCATCCTGTTTGATGCCGTCCCTTCCCGGAATCGTATCTAGGTGCCCATTCACTCTCTTACGCTGGATCTGTTAATCCAGTCAAACTAGGACATCGCGTGATAATAATGTCGTAGCAATCTGACTGTTATGTATTTATTTCAGCCCGCTGCTGTGGAGGAACTCCGTCGCTGGACCTCGGACGAGGCGCTGGGCGACGTTACTGTGATGCCAGACTGTGCCAGTAGAATTCCACCTGTCACCACCTTCATATCCGACAACCAGGACGCCACTGACGTAGGCAGTGGCGTGGTGTCGTCGGACGATGAAGGGGTCGACCACAAACTGCCGTCGCCCGAAGAGCAATTGCAAGTCATGGCGCTCAAGTAAGTAGATCTTGAATTAAACACATACTACGTTTAAATTCAAATTTCCTCCACCACAAACTGTCATCGCCTGAAGAGGAGTTATGGCGCTCAAGTACGCAGAACGGGACCCATAACCTCACAAAGTTTAAGCGGCTTAGAACTTCGAAATTAAATTGAAGAGACACTATACAATATTTCAGGCAAAATGTTTTTATTGAAATTGAAGTAATAGATGTCTAGAATTAATTTTTGTCCAAAATGAAAATTCATATTTAGACACAATCCCCCCCAAATTGCCACCTCCTGAAGAACAATTGCAAGTCATATAGCGCTAAAGTAAGTTGAACTGGGCCCATAACCTCGCGAAGCTTAACAGATTTACGTTTCCTTCGTTTCTTCAGGTGTCCGGAGGTGTGGGCATGTGTACTTTTGTAGTTGCATATGTGCATTCATTTTGGGCCTGATGAAGCCAACCAGCAGAAATACGTATCGCTCGGGTTACCTATCCTATTTTCTGCTCGAATCGACTTTCCTTCTTTTTGCGGATTTTGCCCATTATATATATATATTTAGAAGCAACAGATCCGTGCATTTAATGATTTTATTTTTGTCCCATTATGCAGGTGTTCTTCATTTTATTGCACGCACTCATGGAATCTGATTATCGTTTTACATAACACTTAGAAAGCAGGTTCACTTTTGCTTATTTGCGACGAATATTTAAGTTCACAGTATTAACGTAAACGGTAACAGATGCATTTGATAAACTATATCATACCCCAGCTTGTACAACATTCAGATAAACTTTTTGGAATATCTCATTACTTTTATACAGCAGAAATCTCTATCTCATGCATAAGATCCAGCCATCTACGAATAGAGTTCCGGTCCTGGGCCCATAACCTCACAAACTTGAAAAACAGCTAATTCCGCCCAAAAACCGTTTCAAATATCGTAAAAACCGTGCCAACGGCGCCACCTACCCTCCCCGTATTCAACCCTCACATTTCTCGTTGCAGATTCCCAGCGCAAGTGGTGGCGGTCGACATAAGCGGCCGCAGTTTCGACCGGATGTCCGCGCAACGGCGCTCGTTGACGCACGCCGATCTCGGCAAACAGCCGGCAGATGGCGACACCGTCGGCAGCGGAGGGGGCACGAGGAGGAGGAGGGGGCGCAGACCGAGGAGCAGACGGAGGAACACGCTGGCGGGCACGGATCAGAAGGAGATCGCTGACGCGCTCAGGTTTGTGCTGGAAATGATGATGCGTTTTGTTATGATGGGGAGATTTGTGAGGTCGTTGGGAACAGTCACGGCAACTTTGAAAAATGTTTACACATACCGACATTTTTGTTTTCGTATCAAAGAATTTCTTGTAGTCTGTAGAGTTTGAAAAAAACATACAATTTATTTGATAAGAATAGAAAACTATGCTGCAGAAAAAAAGCAATCCAAATGGTGGTTGAAGACTGAAGAAGAAGTATAGATGAGAAAGAATGAAATCAAAAGAGGATTTGAGACTATGGATAGGAAAAATTCTTAATGAAATTGCACCACTATGGTTTTAAATGATTAGTATTGAACGTTTTAAAAAAGTATTTAGTAAATCGAGTGTTGAAGTTTAAAAATAAAAAACATTTTTTTTAATATCTTCAAAACCGTCAACTGGAATGATCTAAAATTTGGCATGTGGATTTACCTAAATATTGTCCACATTCAAAATTTTTACTTAAAGTTAACGTCCACCAGAGGCGGATATCAGAAATTAGTGGCAGCATTATTTTTCCAACTAAAAATAGTACGCCACTGTTTTTTGTTTTCGAAAGGCGCAACCAGGTGTTTGACATGTATCGCAGCTGCCATAATCGTTGAACATAACCTCGAATATATACTATATAGTCTGAAAAACAGGACTGAGGTCACGATGCTGATTCATGGAGAAATATAAACGTTGTTGTTATTCTTATTTCATGATTTTTAAGAGCTTTTTCATAAATTTATCTTTGTTGTTGTGACTGGTCCTGCAGATCTCGACGATACTAATAATACGACTAATATCAAGTGTGCAAAAAATGTTCAAAAATGTTAATAGCATGCTCGTTTGGCTTAATATGGCTAAATATCAGACACCATGTAAATATGAGAACATCTACCGTTTTTTGACGTTTTGTACACATGAACATACACACCGTCACAAAGCTCATTCAAATCGATATGAATAACGATTTTTATAGGCAATAAATACAACATTTGTTGCATAAATACAAATATATAAAGATTTGTAAGTGGACTGGTTTATTTTTTTGTTGCAGATAATACTTTTCTTCGAAAAATAGACGGAGATTTTGAAGGGTCGTTCCCTGTTATTCCCTGTTAAAAAAATATGAAAAAAATTATGAATTAAAAAAATTGCTTAATCGATATCTTAAAAAATGTTTACTCGATGCTATTGAAATTTGGCAATATATTTGTTCTATTAAGAGGCTAATTTAACCCTAAATAGATTAAAATTATTTGGTCCGGTTAGCACCTAAGCGAATATTATTACCAAAAAATGTACGCCACTGTCTTTTGGTAACTTTATCATTTGTTGTTTAATTAAGCATCTAAAAATACAACTTCTTTGCCTCTTGTATTTTTTTCGTATCTCACTTCGTTTTATGGAAAAAAAATAAAAACCCTTTTATTGCATGTCACCCGACCAAATTGGTTTATTCATTTTTGCTAAAAAAATCACAATGCCTTGGAAAACAAAAATCATTTCTGCATGGAGGTTTGACAACATTTGCGCGTTCTTCAAGAAAATAATTACTCACGGAATTTTCCTTGCAAAATTTCTCTAAAAAGAATGTTTAAAAATGTTATTTTTGTGTCTAAAAAGGAGGACAGCGTTGTTCGGTATGATCCAAAATTGGATGAATCGATCGTCATGAAACCGAAAATGACACGTTTTAGACGATTCGCTAACACGAACTTACTTTTCTAATATGTTCATACCTACAATACCCCGCCTAACAGCATTATAGCTCAGTCATTTTAGACATTATTATAGTTCGTAATGTATTAAAAATATTTGTTTTTGTGTCCAAAAAAGGAGGACAGCGTATTCGGTATGATCCAAAATAATGAATGGATGAATCGTCGTAATGAAGCCGAAATAACACGTTTTAGATGATCCGCAAGCATGCACTTATAGTTTTGTAATATGTTCAAAACTACAATATTCCGACTATAGCGCTATAGATCGTTAATTTTAGACATCCTTAATGATCTGAATTATTGAAAAAAGTTTATTTTTGTTTCCAAAAACGAAGGACAGGGAAATTCAATATTGAATGAAACGATCGCCAAGAAGCCTAAAATTATATGTTATAGACGATCCGCTAGCATGCACTTAGTTTTGTAATATGTTCATACGTACATACCCCGCCTAACAGCATTATAGGTCAGTTATTTTAGACATTCTTATAGTTCGTAATATATTCAAAATATGTTTTTTGTGTCCAAAAAAGGAGGACAGCGTTATTCAGTATGATCCAAAATATTGGATGAACATCGATCGTCATAAAGCCGAAAATGACATGTTTTAGACGATCCGGAAGTACGCACTTAATTTTGTAATATGTTCATACCTACAATACCCCGCCTAACAGCATTATAGGTCAGTCATTTTAAACATTCTTATAGTTCGGAATATATTCAAAATATATGTATTTTTGTGTCCAAAAAAGGAGGACAGCGTATTCGCTATGATCCAAAATATTGGATGAATCGATCGTAATGAAGCCAAAAATGACACGTTTTAG